GAGAAGGGAACAGGTAGTGAGCGTCTGTATCCTGAAGTCTGTACTTTCCAAGTACCTCAGCCAATGGGGAAAGGGAGAAGGTGATGCAGCTAGGAAATTAGGATAAAAAGAAGGCTGTGCTCTCCAACAACTTGAGTGAACCCAGGGGAACTGCCCCATGGCCTTTCCCTCCATTTGAATAAAGTTATAGAACTCCTCTGTCTCCTCTTGGACATAAACCTCTGGCATCATGAATTTATCCACACATCCTCTAGCACTGCACCTTCTTTTACTCATAGCTTGCCGGCCTGGAAGCATGAAGAACAGACTTGGGAATATTTCCACATTCCTTTCCCAGGCCCTTTGAAAGACTTCTTTCTTCAGGACAGGAAAGAAGAACTGATATCCAGTGCCCAGTTCCTTCATCAGTCCCTTTCAACATCTTTTCCAGCAACCACAGTCAGGGTCTGCTGCTGAAAAACCTTCATAGAGTAATTTCATCATGGAATGACTTTGGATATGGTGGTTGTAATTTCTTGATACCAGCTGTGAGAAACAAAGCACACTCTTTAAAATTTTGAAAGGGATAAAAGGAATAATATCCAGTGCTGGGGTGCCTGATAAACTGCTGGAAGCATACCATTAATTATAACAACTCTTGTTATATACTTTCTCATGCATTGGTCAAATGCACAATGAAATCTCCTCGTCCGAGCCCGGACAGTCTGACTGGTGGTTTCACTAGGAAATGGCTCTGGTGACTTTATGCTTTGTTCCCATTGTTCAGAAACAGAACTTTAATGAGGTGAAAACAATAAACAGGAAGGTGTATGCAGTACTGGGAACAAACTGGAAAAAAGCAGGGTGCCTTTTGCTTACCATCACTACAAGGGGTTTTCCCATAGCCTTAGGCCGTTTTCCTCCTGCTGAGCCACCCCCATATTACATATTTTGAGAATTCTTTATCTTGGTTCAGAGTGTTGGCCTCATTTTCTTAGAGTATGTGCTACAATGCAGATGTGATTTTGAGAATGTTGTATTTTATTTTCTCACGAGCCCCCCCGGTCAGTGGTTTGAAAGTTATTGGTAGTTGAGAGTCAGCAGTAGATTTCCTCCTTGTTCTTTTGGTGTTATTTGTCTGGTTCTCTTCAATGCTATCTTATCATACAGAAGTTCTAGCCACTTTTACAAACACTTTTGATCAACATTATCTATTTCATCATTGTCAGTTAGTTACAAAAACATAAGCATTTAATATTATATAGTCTCTGTTTTAATATTATATGAAGGCCTAAGCTATAATAGATATATTATTATTTATATAAGCTATATGGTACATGGAAAAGCTGACAGATAATACTATATCAAAAAGCAGTTAAAAATTGTTTTCTATCAAAATCATTATAATCAATAATAACTTGTAAAAGCTAATACATAAATGTGAAAGCCGATAATTATATTGTCACTTATAACAGCAGAGATGGGATTGTTGGATACTGAAAGACTATTTGAAAGTCCAAAGAGGAAAAGCACAGTGCTGGAGAGTTAATATTTTAATGGAAGACTCTCTGAAGGTGTTTCCCCTTCAGTGGGTGGATTGAGGATCTCTCAAACTAGAGAATTAAAGAACTTAAATCCAACAGGAAAATTCTGTCAAATAGGTCACTCCTTTATTACAGCACTGGAGACATGCTGGGAATTTTTTTTTGCCATGAGCACATCCCACGAGACACAGTTGCCTGGGGTTTAAATACATTGTCACATTTAGGATTTCCTTACAGCCCATCCCAGAGTCTACCCAGCCATTACATCCAAGGTGTCTCCTCCAATGTTGTCTTGGTGTGGAGCAGGGCTGCCATATGGTGTCCTTTACCTGTTATTATTTTGATTAGGGGGCTTAATTACTTCATCAGAGGGTCTTCATTATTGTCTTTGTCACCTGCCCTCTGGATGACCCTCCCATGTCGACAGCTCCCAGCACATACACAATTCACTTCTGCTAATTTTTTATCTTACTGTACTAAGTCACTACTATGACACTACATTGACCTTTAGTTAAAAATAATCCAGACCTCCTCTTACTTAAACAACTCTGTATTGAATTTACTTCTGAAGCAGAACAAATCTCTATTAATTAAGTTTTCTGAGGTGTAAAGGTCTCTGCAGGTTCAAGTTCAGATATTTCTTAATTTTCTTGGGTTTTTAATTGTGTTCTACTGAGTTAAACGCATTTAATTAAAATCAAAGAACAAAAACCCCCCACATAAATTCTTTAGCTAACTAGGGCACAACTCCTTACAAAGTTCAGGGGACTTCAAAGACTCTTGGCTAAATGAGACATAATTGCTTTTCACTAGGTGCTTATCACAGACCGTGCTCTGTGCTGAGGCTGCACCACCACAGAGGCTGTCAGAGGAGCCTTTGCAAATATATTGGAAGCACATTTCTGAAACACCTTGTGAAATGACACACAGAGTTGGAGGGGAGCTTTCCCAGATCAAAGCCTTGAAAAAAAATTTTTTTTTCCCCAAATACCAATTCTGGCCTAGTTCTGTTGGTCCTGGCCCAACAGAATCCTTCTGCCTGATTGCTTGTGAGACATCAAAGAGCATCCCAGGACATATCCCCTACTCACCTGCTGGTCTGGCTCTCCCCCTGCTGGCCCTCACAGGCTCACCCCTGCTCGCTCCAGGTGCCACACCAGGGACACACCTGGTCCAGGCTGGCGGCTGGTACTTGGCCTCTCTCACTCAGGTCCCCCAGCTGCTGGCACCTGGGCACACGGGGCCTCTGGTTCTGGCCCAGCTGCTGACATTAGGGACCCCTACAAACGTGCACACCATTTGGGGTGTCCCTCACCCAGGAGAAGTGATAGAAATGGAGTTTAATGAGAAGACAGGACAGACTGTGGTGACAGAGCACAGGGCCAGCCCAGACAAGTGTACTGGCCAGCCTCCTGCAAAAATGAAACCAGACTATTGCTTCATCCATCCATTTTCCCAGGCTAATTATTCCCAGATGCCCTTAATTCATCTCTTTCTCAACTTTGTCTCCCCCCACTAAGAATCCTGTAACAGTCTGGGGCAATCCCCAAATGCTCTTAATTTGCAATGCCTTATGCGTCCATAGCCCTTAGGCAGTGATGCCTTGAGTTCAAAACGTGCTTCACTGATGGACTCATCTGGATGGGTTTCCTACAGAAACCCATGGTTTAGGATTTCCTGGGAAATCCCTGGGAGGGGCCTGGGCAAGCTGCCGCTTCCTGAGATCTTAGTGTGGGCTACTGACCATCCCGTGGGCCCCTGTGCTCCTCTGGGCTTGTGGAGATGGCTGGTGTATCTCCTTCCTCTGCTGGGCTGGGGAGCAGCTGGGCTGGGGTGTCACTTGGACTCCCTCACCTGCCATTGCCTCTCTGTCCTCCATGGGAAAGCAGCCAAGCTCCTTGATGGATAACTCAGCAGGTCCACTCTTCTACTCACTTTGAATGCTGCTGTTCAAGATCTCTCCTTCCTCCAAAAACAAGCATCTCCATTTTTTCCTTAATCCTAGGTTTCTCTTTGGCCTTTCGTGAAGCGAGGAGCCTGGTGTCTGCTTCTGCAAGAGACCCAGCAGAGTGGTATGGTAATCACTACAGAGCTCTACACTACCTGGAAGAGAGAAATGATGAGTACAGAAGAGGGTTCTGTATTGATTTGGCACAGCCTGATTTTTGGTAGTGAGAAAGAGCCGCAGAAGTGGCTTCTGTGAGAAGCTGCTAGAAGCTTCCTCCATGTCTGACAGAGCCAATCTCCGATGGCTCTGAAGATGGACATGGTGCTGGCCCGGTTGGAGAGGTTGGAAATGCCTCTGTGATGACATATTTAAGAAGAAAATCAAAACAGCACAAGTTTCTTTTCCAAGGGTGGCGAGGCGCCGCCAGGGCCGTCCCAGCAGCACGCGGCAACGCGCGGCCGTGGCCATTGCCATCTGGGCTCGGCCCGTGGCCAGCCTTGGCTGCCCGGCCGTCCCCAGCCAGCCCCTGGGGCAGAAGGGCAGGGCTGCCGGTGGCAGCTTCCCCTTCCTGGAAAGCCTTGGCTGCCCGGCCGTCCCCAGCCAGCCCCTGGGGCAGAAGGGCAGGGCTGCCGGTGGCAGCTCCCCCTTCCCACGCCCCACATGAAGAGCGGCGTTAAACAGCGCCAGCCCCGCGGCGGCTGCCGCTGCCCCCGCCGTGGAGCCGGGGCCGCAGGGCCGGCGGGGAAAACGCGGCCAGCGGCTCCCAACGGGGAACCTGAACGAGATCGACCCCTCGGCACTGCGGGATCCTGTGGGAATCTCTGAATTGGTGGAACTTGATGGCAATGGCACCTACGAGCAGCAGCTTTTCTTCTGTCAGAGTAGAGGAGGAAGGGAGGACATGTGAGGAAAACAACATGGCAGCACCAAGGTCAGTGGAAAAAGAAGGGGAGGAGAGGAGGTGCTCCAGGTATCAGAGCCAAGATTCCTCCATGGTGGGGACTATGGTGAAGCAAACTGTAATCCATGAAATCCACAGGTGATGCAGAGATCCACTCGCAGCCCATGGGAAAAGTGCTCATGCTGGAGCAGGTGGATGGCAGAGAAAGCTGTGATCCAGTGGGAGACCCAAACAGAGAGAGAGGGCCCCTGCTTCCAGAGATAGAGAGGGAGGGCCTTGCTTCCAAACTAGAGCAGCCTGTCCTTAGAGGACTGCATCCTGTGGATGAGTGATCCACATCACAGCAGTTTTGGGAGGACTGTTTGGCCGTGGGAAGGACTCACATTGCAGCAGTTTTGGCAGGACTTCTGCTTTTGAGATTGGAACCATGATGGAGAAGTTCACGAGAACTGTCTCTCATGGGAGAGATTCCATGGCCTAGCAGAGGAACAGAGTGAACTGAGTGACCAGAAAAAGATTTTAGGTGACTAACTGACCAAAACTCCCATGGCCCTGTTTCCCTGGGCTGGCGGTGGGAAAGAGGGAGGGGCTGGGGGAAAAGAAAAGGTGTTTTAAAGGCTTATTTTACTTCTACGTTATTCTCCTCTGACTCTGTTAATAATAAATTTACCTTATACCTATTAACTTGAACCTGTCTTGCCCAGTTTTCTACCAGTCGTTAACTCATGAGACCTTTGTTAATTTTTTCCCCTCACCTGTGCCCAAATGTAGCAGGAGAAGGTAAGCCAACGACTTTCACGGGCACCTGGTTTATGGTTTGGACAGTGTCAAACCACAACAGGTTTGTTACAGGCACAGCAGGTACAGCACAGGAGTACGAGAAGCTTGCAGGGAAAACAGGGAACACGTGGGAGGTCAGAGCAAAGTGTCTAGTGGGAGGGATTCCCAGCTGTGAGCAATGACTTGTTTTGTCTGTGGATGCCAGCAGCCCTCCAAAGCACCTTTGAATCTGCACCAGGAGGAGGGCAGGGAAGACCCTTGTGGGGAAACTTCTGTGTGAGACTGCTCTGAACAGCACCCAAGCTCTGCAGGGCTCCCTGGCCTTGTCCAGAAGGGACACAACCAGTGCCTCTTTCATGCTTTTGCACGTAAATAAATTTTCTGCTGTACCCTCCAGGGCAGCGGTGCAGAACTTTTAAGCAGTTTTTCCTGACCTTTGCTAGAGGGCACACGGGGCACACGTTGTGTCATCTGCCCAGTGTGTCTGTCCCACGCAGCAAAGAACACGGCAAACAGAGACCCCTAATGGAGGATGTGAATAATCACTAGAAGCCCTGGGTGTTTGTGTTACCTCGTTTTGGTAAGTGATGTGCTGGTCTTTCGGTGTGTGCAGGCTCAGAGAGGATCTCTCACCTAGGTCTTGCTGTAAGCCTGTTTCCTTTGCAGGAGTTCTGGGTGCACCTGTGTGTACCTTCTGCCTGGGAAAAAACACACCGTCAATTAGGCACAGGATTCTTAGTATACCCCTTGTCATTTAGAGTGAATTGTGCTATTTTAAAGAAGCTAGATGGGTTTCCAGAACAGATATATAAAAAATGCCAAGAAGAAAGAGAAGGGCAAATTGCAAGGAGAACAGAGGCAAGGCACATAATTTGCAAGAAAAGGGAAACTATTCTTACTTGCTCCTTCCGCTGTTATTTAGTCTCATGACACAATATATCAAGACCAGTAAGAGCAACACAGCTGCTAATATCAATGTGATGATGACTGTGTTCTTCTGAATATCTACAAAAAGAAACCAGTAAGTTCACACAGAAAATGAAGTGATGCTAATATGTTTCTGCTCTCATCTTCCAGGGGCTGGGACCCAGCATTTTGTGCTCATTTATTCTTTGAAGGAGAGAAAGGAACAGTGTAACAATATAACTGTACCAAAGGTGAAGGATTATTTTATGTTTTTAAATAAATACTGATAATGTCTCACATTTCCCTGGTATCAGGTTGTATCAAACCCAAGAACTTTTATTCTGATCTATTCATGTTTCTCTTTGTGCTGAAAGAAATTTTAATCACAAGAGAAGTGTCCCATCCTTCCTGACACATATCCTCCAGCAAGATATTCTGTGTGAAATGTTTTTCCCCAGCATTTGTCTGCCAGGAGCCTGCTCTGCTGGTGTCTCCCAGCTGTGTGTACTGCTGCTCTACATAAATCATTATGTAGAAATGTAGACACATTGTGTATGCACAAATGTATGTGTTTATTCCATCTACGTATGCACACATCCACCACACACACACAAAGGCATCACAGGGAGGAGTCTTCTGGAGGGTTTAAAATCCTGAAATCTTCATCTAGCATAAGATCTGACCTCACAGAAAGTTGTGTTGCAAGACCTATATAAGTACAAGGTGCCCTCCTACAATTGCCCTCCTACAATTGCACATCCTTCCCTAAGTACTCCCCACTACATGTTACACATCCCTACACAACTACAGCCTACCTTCCAATCCTTTTTCGAGGTGAAGAGCCTTCTTTTTACTTCCTTGTGGGTGGTCGAGGAGGCAGAACAAGGCCTGGAGGTGGCTGGCAGAGAAGTTTAGTTTGCTTGTCACTGTTACTGTTCTGTTGGTGTTTTGGATGTGGCGTATTTGAGGTGTCTCCTCCAGGCCTCTGTCATCCAGCCATGTGATGTTGGGGGCTGGCTTTCCTGTTGCTGAGCACATTGCAGTGAGGAGACCCTCAGCAGGCAGGAGGGAATGGAATTCCACTGTGACCTCAGAAATTGCTGGCAGCAAAAAGAGAAGGTGCTTTTTACACTCTCTGGTGAGTTTACAGTCAAAGCTGGGTGGGTCTCTCTGTATAAGGCTTTTTTCCAAAAGCATCTGCTAGCTTATTTGCCTTCATTTCCCATGAGGAAAGTGTTGCCTTGGAAATAGAAGCGATCTCCCCCCAAAAAAGTTAGAGTGAATATAAAAACAAATCTTTACCTGAAAGCTTTCAGGTACACAATATGACAAAAACCAGATGTAGTACAGTAATTCTTTAATTTTTAAAAGCTCAGTAGATTATTATTCCTGTCATATATTGTCCAATTAAAAGGACAGTTGTTTAGGTAATAATTCCAGTGTGGCAATGTGGACACTATCCACCAAGGAGATGCTGCTGCATGAAAAATCTCCATGTGGTGGATAGTACAATGACATTCCCACCTCCTGGGGACATCAGACCCAAACCGAGTGCCAGAAAGAGAGAAGGTGTTAATGGAAAACTTACTTTAGCTGTTGAGGCATATGTCTTTGCTGAAGGAGCCATGACGGAACACATTGAAAATGCATCTGTAATTAGAGTCATCCTCAAGTGTGAGATTTTGGAGGGTGATTGCTGATGCCTTTGGGGTTGCTCTAGTGAAATGCACCTTCTTCTGAAATGACCCTATCAGCCTCTGCCCATATGCTGGGCTGTAGGTGGCCATGTTCTGGAAGGAAGTCCCCTTTCTCTTCTGCCAGGTGACTTGCAAAACATCCATCGAGAGCGAGAAGTTGCAATAGATATTTGCCTCTCCCCCAAGGGCTGCTACGATGATGGTATCAGATTGGATGGATTCCTTCAAAGCTAGGAACAAAGCAAACCCCCAGATCAGGACAGGAGGAAAAGCAATTGACTCAGGGAAGGCCATAGAGTCTTGAAACATCCAGTCACATTGTTCCCATCTTTCAGTGCACTGGAGTAAGGAATTCCACCACTAGGCCACAGGGCACACCAGGAGACCTCAGACATGCTGTTGTCACAGGTAGCCATCACATCATTATCCTCTGCTCTACAATTCCATGGAGAGGAAGAAGGCAACATGGGAACGGAGAGCAGGCAGGCTCTTTAGCAAGCACAGCAACCACCCAGCAAAACCAGCTCTCGCTCCCAAGGGTGTCCCTGCTCCCCTCCTGCCAGCACCTGCAGGGCTGTGGGAAGCAGGGCAGCCCAGGGCACCCTGCAGGGGGCAGTGAGAAGGGCTGCAGAGGATATTCCCTGCTCCAGCCTCTCCCCAGAGAAGTGTGCACCACCCAGACATGCACACTGGAAATGCAAACCTGCTCCTTCCCCTGTGCTGAGGGGGTCAGCAATGCCAATAAAGAAAGGGAATATACAGGCAGAGCATACAGCTTGTGAGCAAAGTGCCCTGTGCTTTCTGTGACCAAGCCTTACCCAATTTGGCTGCTGCTCACTCATGCCCAGCTTACCAGCTACTGTCCCAGTCACCAAGTTGTATATTTCAGTCGGCATGGTATCTGTCTCTCTGCTTGCTAGGACAGGTGGTGGTGCTGCAGAGTTAAGCTGGTGTGGGGAAAGGGATGCTCTACTGACCCATCGCTGGTTCCACTCGCTGGCAGCCTCCACAGAGCAGCAGGTGGCAGATTTCAGCCCAAAAGAGCAGCCGGAAAATCACTGTGGGACAACGTGATTGCCCAGGAAGGCTCATCCCTTTCCCCACTTCCCTCAGAGGGCACCCTGGATGCCTAAGAGGACTGTCTTGTTTTAGAGTGCTCTTCGGTGGCCAATCGGCAGCACCATTCCCAATCTTTAACTAGGTACTGCTGTAACAAAGGAAACAAAACAGGAACTTCTTTGTTCTTTCTTTGGTTTTCTTTCTCTCCATCAGCAAAGCATGGTGATGTCCCTTGTTCACCCCATCCTGCCTAGCTTTGCTACAAGCTATCAAAATTATTTACACCTCTCACAGTGTAAATTTGGGATCTTCCTGGTATGTATGGGAGGTGTCTGATGGAGAGGGAAGAAACCAGGGGCCACAGGCCCTGACAGATCCTGCTCCCTTTCTCTCTTGCAGGAAAGCGATGGTGGACAGGGAGGTGCTGCCTGTGGATCATTGCCTTTGAGGCTCGCCAGACATCACCCTGGGTGCCAACACTGGAGTCCTCAGGGAAACCACTTTCCTTCCTGTTATAGTTCAGGTTTGCTAATATAAATATGCTAATTTTCTGTTGTGAGATAGAATTAGGACTAAAATCAAGGCAGGCCTAAAATTTAAAAGGGTAAAAAAGAAAAACTTTATTAACAACACAGAGAAAGAAAAAAAAAAAACAAATTCAGAATAAGATCTTCAGACCACTCCTCCTCTCCTCTCCCAGCCTTCTTAACAACAAAACAAACATACAAAAAAAAATCCACTTCAATCAGTTCCCAGCTTAAATAGTCCTTTTCAGTTCACTTCAGAGAGAGAAGTTTCCTCTTGTCAGGCCATAGGGACTTCACCACAAGAAGGGAAAAAACCAGTTCTCTCGTGGCTTCACTTTTACGATTCACATCCCCCTGGGAAAATTTGCAAAATCGTGAAACTCCTCCCATCTTCACAGCTTTCCCAAAGCTGTGCTTATGGGCCATGGTAAACCCATTTACTTTGAAGAGTGAACTGTTCCAAACAAAAATTCTCTTAATCTCTCTTTCTCTCTGTTCATGCTTCATCTTGAGAAACAGAGATCCCCTTTTCTCCTCCAGACAAAAGATTCTCAACACAGGTGCTTTTGGTCAATAATCTATCAAATGGAACACTCCGACCCCACCCATGTCTTTCTCCATGGTTTATAGGAATTTTCAGTGTGATATCAGTTTATCCCTACAATCTTACAAAAGGATTTTCAACCAACCTTCATAGCATCTCCTCATTCTCCTTCCATCTAAAGAAACTTAGCTCTGGCTTTACTGACCTTAGTGTCTTCTATTCGTTTTCCCCTCTCACTCAGGGGAGGATTGAAGGTTTGCAAGTCTTATCTGAGCATTAAAAGAGTTAAGATCACACACGGGGAATGCTGAAGCTGCAGCCAGGCCATACTGGAGCTGTGCCAGGATCTCAGGAGACTCAGGCCGTGCTGGGAGGGTGGGGATGGGGAATGGCTGGGAACTCAGTCAGCCTCCCTGGGGTTCAGCTGCAGCACCCACTGCCCATGGCCACCCCTCCTTCCTGCCGGGACATGCCAGCTTTCCAGACAGGGGGCCCGGCTGCCTCCCCCCAGGCCGTGTGGGAGGCTGGACAGGCTCAGCCACCCCTCTGGCTCTTCGAGGTGGTGGGGTAAGGCCCCGCCGAGCCGCGGGCCTGTGGGGAAGAAGGGAGGGCCAAGATTTTAGAAATGGGGCTCTTCCCTTCCTGCCCATCAAGGCCCCTGGTTGAAAATGGGGCCCAGCGGCCTCCTGGGCCCACCTCAGCCTGGGCCAGGCAAAGGGGCCAGGCCAGGTTAGTTACCTTGAACGAAGCAGAAATGAAAGAGCTTATTTCCGGGTTACCTCCTTCAAAATGTGTTTTCACAGAGCGAACTAATTTTCTTCAATTGGTTTCTCAGGCTGTCAATAACCAAACCAGCCTCCAGCACCAACTCACAGAGAAAGTTCTCATGGAGAAAAACCTCTGTGAGTCTGCCCTCCCCCAGGGGTAACCAGCACACTTCTTTGGATCTGGCACAGAGGAGTCACAGACAAGAGCAGGAGATGATTCCCCATCAGGAGGGCAGTGTGGAGACACCTGCAGGTGCCAGTGCTTTGCCACAACCCGCAAGTGAACCAGACCCTCCAACTGGATTGTGGAAGGAGTCACTGCAGGGGGCAGGTTTGGCTGAAATCTCCTCACCCCAGATGTGTGATATAATTCCAGCAGGAGAAAGTCAGGGGTGTGACAGTGCTCCCGGGCTCAGAGGTGATGCCTTGTGCCCAAGGGGTTCACGGTAAAACTGCACAGTGCAGCTCCCCCATGGCAAGCCAGGGTCAAGCACCACGGGAGGTTCCAAGTTGTACTTACAGCAGGACACCCATTGCACTCCATACAGGCTTTCTGCAAGAAAGGGAGAAAACTATTTTACAGGAAAATATGAGAAGCAAATACCAATCTGTGTTCATCTCTGCTGTTTATGAATTTGACTCTCCCCTCCATCAGGGGCAGCAGCATCAAATCCTCTAGTTCTCATAAGCTCTATGATTTCTTACAGTTCTATTCCATCTCTTCTCCCCATTTTGTAGATGAAGTCCATAAAAGGTGAGTTGGTCTGCAGAACATCCCTCCTGGCACCTCTGTTAGGGGAAGGGGCTCCATACAGTCTCTCATTCCTAGCTACAGCACCAGCTTGCACTGCAGGAGAAGAGCAGGGCAGTGAAACCAGTGTACACCACTATGTCAGAGCCTTTCCATAGGGTCCCTCAGGGGTTTCCACCTTCTCTCCCCTGATGCCTGGTCCCATCCCAGCCTCCTCTGTCCCAGACTTCTGCTTTGGGCAGAAGGGGTGTCCCTACTGCCAGCAAGGCAGAAGCATTTTGGGTTAGTAGAGGGCACCAGGGGCTGGCTGAGAGATAGTTCCAGAGCAAACTCTACGACATGGAGCAGAAAAAGTAATAACAACTCACTTATGTCTCTTTTGCCAGGGTCAGAATTGCCAACAAAATCCAGCTTTTTAGTAATAAACTCAGAAATCTCAACAAATATCGGAGATTTTGGCAGAAGGAGCTCAAGATGAGAAAGGACAGGAATGGACAAGAGAAGATGCAGCTAATGCTGCTGAGCTCGCACAGAGAGTTTTTCTGGCTTAGAAAGGCCAAAGAGCTTATGGAGGGGAAAATGTTCAATGCACACAGGCAGCTGCATGAGGGCAGCACATCACTGCTCCAAGCAAACAGTGTAGCAAACATTATTCAACCAGCACAAATACCAGCCACTACAATGTGTATCTTGCACCCAAGATACAACAGACTTAGCAGAATGGATCTGCTCTTTTCCATCAATCCCTAGAGCCTGGTTGGAGATGGGAAAGCAGACCCAGATGCACGCATCAGTGGAAGGTTACACATGTAAAGAGTTTTGTGGAGGTACATCTTTAATTTCTTTCCTCTATAAGAGGGGAGATTGGTGCAGTCATCCTAAATAATGACCAGTTCTTCCCTTCTAGATGTTCTTCATTGTCCAGGCAACAAAATGGGCTCAGATATTTTGATTACAGCAAGAACCTTTATCCTCTGAACCTCACTGCATTTTTTACCTGGGCAAGGATCTTACTGGCCAGCTGCATATTGTGGGGCAAAACTTACATACAGACAGAATACCAACATACAAAAATGGCACTAGCATCTCTAGAAGGTCCTGGCAACAGGTCAGATTACAGAAACAGAATCTGTCCGACTTGTTTCCTACATGTCCTTTCCCCAGCTTTTGCTTTTTCTTCTTTGTAGTT